TTTTTGGGTAGTATTCAATTTTACCTTCTTTGATGAGCTTACTTCTATACCGCAATCCATTTTCTAAATCCGTTTTTTTGATTCAGCACCTGTAAACGCAACTATTGTCTAGTATATCTTCGTTGCGTTTTCCATTAAGTTTTTCGATTTATTCAAAGTGGTCCTCGTAGATTTTCCTTTCTTTTTACTGTTTTGCAGTTAGAACAGATTCTACTATTAATTGATTAGTCATAGAACCAATTCTACACACTTAAATTGCACATTTGAAAAAGCACTATGTAAAGTACACCCTCTATAGTTCAGGGGAACAAAACACATTTTAGAATAAGGGAAGCAGAATTGTTGAGGATGAAACTAAAGAATTACAGTTGTAAAAATCCTTTTTTTCTGTGCTTGGATTATGAGGACTTCGTTTAAAATTCTTTCTGTTATGGAAATCTTACTTTATTTTGTTTGTTGTTCGTAGCACTCGCTAATGGTTTTACATCCGGAAGCAAAAAATTTTGTTTCAGACTGAAAGGGCCGTCAGGAAAGCCTGTTAATATGCAACCAGCCCTCATCAACCCTCACAACGGCTATTTTTATGTTTATCAAGTACCTCGTGATCTTCCCTCAGGTTATTCTTGATCTTACGGTTGTTATTTCTACTTTCTAAAAGTGCAGTTAAGAGTGTTTTTATTTCAGGAGAATATACCCTTTATTTTGATGTTGATATTAACAAGATAAAGGAGAAGGCAAAATATATGATGCTGGCAGTTCAGGGTTTTGTTTGTGGGGCACCCGATTTTTGCATATGGAACACCGCAAAAGTAAAGGGGAAAGCAAAAGTTGAGTGATTTTAAGTGATAACGCAAGTCTGTAAGATAGTGTACTATAGTTCTCGGTGTCTTCCTTCTCAGATCGGTAGCGGATTGCCTCATTCCTAAAACTTTTGCTCTGATTCTACTATTAGGATAACTATTTGCTGACCTTTGTTTTTCGAAAATCTTAATCTTATTTATTGAACGACAGGGTTTTGAGAATTGGACATTTGTGTGAAATAACAATACGCTGTAAATCTGAGAAATAAAAAATGCCTTATTCAATCACTCAACAGGCGTATTATTCCTCTTTGCTTTTACATTACTTCAACTCTGTTGTCTTTTCATACGTGTTCGTCTGTTTTCGCGGAATATTTTTTCATTGTCGCTTCTGTGTCTTCTCTGGAAGCTGTGTCCCATTAAACATTAATTTTTCATCTTTCGTTTTTTATCTGTTGTCTTACGTTTAAATTTTTACTCGCATTTACTTTTTGAATCAGCTCAACCCCTACAGAAGCACATCAGTAGTCTTTACGTTGCTTTCTGCTGTTTTGAATTTATAAAAGCAAAAGACATGTCTCTTACTTATTTCAGCTTTATCCTTTTTTCTTTTCAGCTCTGCACATTTTTGATACTGTGTTTAAAGTTGTAACACTTTGGAAATACCATGTTCCCGCAAAAATTCTAACTATGCATTTGATGTAACTGCTTCAGCTTTGGAATGACTTCACTTCTTTTGTTGTTGGTTTTGCTGTCTTCCTGATTATTTGGCGTATTTTACATGTTTTGGTATTTTTAATTTTAACTGATATATATGGGTTTATAATTATTGTTTTTTTGGAAAAATCAAACATGATTTCTTTGGTCGCAAAACTGCTTGGAAAAAATTTTGTGGTAACGGTACCTCGTTTTGGCGTCTAATAAGTGTAACTGATCAGCACATATAGGAACCTTAGCGGAAGAGTGCTGCGGATATTCTGGCGGAGGGAAGTACACGGTTAACAGGGCTTAGCTTAATAAATGTTAGAGGTCCGAATGCTGTGGATGGACGTTGTTAGTAGTTGCAAAGCAAGAGGCTATTTGTACTGTAGTATTCTCATCGTGAAGAGGGAGCGAATCTGCTGAAGTATGTGGGAAAGCATTGCGTACCGACTACGTCGTTTGCTTAAGTTGTTTTTTAGTTTCTTGGAATGCTGAATAGATTTTTTTGATTGTTGGTATTTTTGTTGACAGCGTGTTATTCGCTCCCTGGAGGGGATTTGCACGTCGTCTTTTTGCATCTGTGGTGTAGTATTGGTTTTAATGCAGTAAGTGCTGGTTGTTATTGGGGTAGGAAAGACGCTAGAAGGACTTGAAGTAAGTTTAGACTTGAACTGGGAAGTCTCTAATTGCACAATGAGTCCATATCTGCATTGGTGGATAGCCGTGGCGAGGCTGGTTTGGTATACAGAAATCGGAAAGTGAAGGAGTTAAATGACAAAGGCAACTTTAAAACATGGTATTCTCGTAAGTTTTCTTGAGGCTGAGATGGATGGATATTGTGGTTCTCGTGAGAGAAAGGCAAGAAATAGTTTTGAAAAATTTTGATGGAGGATACTGAAAGAGAAACTGATTTGTTTTTTATAGTTTGTTGGCTAATTTCCTAATACTCTTCTGATTTGCCTGTCGTATTGGCGGGTTGGTTATAGTTTTCCATATTGGTTTTCCAGGTATATTTGGATTAGCAATTTAACACTGTTTTTGTTCAAAACGTATTTGCCAAAATAACATTTGAACGATGTTTCACATCTACAGACCACATCTGACTCGAAAATTGACAGGATTTGGTTTTAGAGAAATAGAAAAAAAAATAGCTTGAAGGAATGGAAATTTTATTGTAGCGTTTGGTTTAAACCTCAATCTTCTAGCAATACCAAACGATTTGTACGGTGAACTTCTCTGAGTTGCGGGGAAGTATACTAACTCGAGTAGGTTGAAAATGGAGATAATAAAATTTTTTTTGTCGGGAGCCCGGACATTTTGGACGCTCTAAACTTCTTTCATAAAGGATAGTGGCAAAGAAGGCATTTTTCAGTTTCCGAATAAGAAGTGCTGAAAAAAGCATTGTTTTTTGAGCTGCACTTCTAATAATGTCGGAAATATTTAAGAGGTCATTTCATTTAAGGTTTACCGAAGTAACTTGCAGGACAGATTAGCAAAGTAACTATCTAAATCGCGTTATACTGTAATGGAAAATAAAAATCAGTTTGTTTCTAGTTCGGTTTATTTGCCTACGGTCGCCTGAGAGGTCTTTTGCCAGATTTCCACAATATAATGTTCAGTAAATTCAGTTTTAATCAAAAGATTTTTATCGCTTAATTTCATTGGAAAACGTGTGCAGTTAAGTTTCTCTTACCAGGATTATAGATATTTTTGTATTTTAGATCCAGAACAGAAATAGCAATGCAAGAGTACTCTTTCCTCTGGTAAGAAATATGTTATGTATGAAGCAGTTACAGTATCATGGTTTTTGTCAGAATCCTCCATGCAGCTTAGTAAAGTTGGTTCTTTCCATAGGAGAAAAATTTTT